TGTAAAAGAGTCAGACGTAAAAGAGCCAGAACGACGAACCAACAAATTATCTGGCGGCCTGCAGACCTTTATTCTGACACCACCCTCCTTCCAGTTTTTATATTCGCTTCACCGTGACTACTAAAAATCAAAAATAAACCTTTATCTTATAATGAGCATCACAGAGCTGCTGTCATGGCTGTAGACCCCGACTCCTGTTCTCCACAGAGTTAATTCCATATAGTATAAAATCACTCAGTCTCAATCAACGTTTCTCCTCCTCCTCCTCCTCCTCCTCACCAAGGAAGCACGTGGCAGTGGAGTGGTGGGTGCTTAAAATTTAAAACCTCTTTATAATCTGTTAATGCTGCTTTCAGAGTCAATTCACCAACTGGTCCTCGTTCACTCACTCTCTAACTTCTTGGTGCAAAGCAACCGTGAACAAGACGTTTCGATCTCACACACGGTGAGCTGAGCAGTGAGGTTCCTCTGGTAGGTGTATATACTCCTCCTCCAGCGGGCACTACGTGTTATTATGGGATGTACTTTACTGTGGATATTGGTCAGATTAAAGGCAGCTGGAGGCGCCATGCCAGCGTCTGTGAACAAATAATTAAAGCAGACTCAGGGGTCACATGCAGGAGTTCATTTCTTACTGGCTTTGAAGTTCTTGTCAAGATATTTACCCCAATGACAAACACACACACACACACACACACACACATCTTTATGCTGCTGGTTAACAATGAATACAGTGAAACTGAGTTTCGAGTCGCTGCATACTTTGGCACAAACCAAAAGGAAAAGCAAGTGACTGAATATTCTTCACTGCTGCACTTTTTGGGGTTAGAGATTCAAACAATTAAGCTCTAGGAAAGAACAGAAGCTTAGAGATCTGCGCACAAAAACACAAGCACAAGCACAAACAACGCGTGCAGGTAGAACATAATTTACCAAATTCCCACCTCAGCTACCGGGGGGTGGGGGGTGTGGATTAGAAGGATTAAGTGCTTCAGATGATTCTGAAAACCTCATAAAACAAGGCTCAACTCTTCATTTAACACACACACACACACACACACACACGGAAATGGTGAGAGAATGTGTCACCTCATGCCGTCTGTTAACTGTGCGCACGACTGAAAACAATCCATTGTTATTCTCCCACAGGCGACAGGAGATCAGCTGATTACAAATCAATAACAAATCAATAACAACTCAGACGGTGACTGTGTATACCTCTAGACACAAACTCCAACAATATTACACGCAAAGTTTACTCATCATGATCGTACTGAAAACAGCTGCATAATGACTGCAGCTCTCTGTCTAACGAAGAGATACCAATGAGGTGCATTATGGGAAATGTAGGACCCAGTATTTCAGACGATGTCTCAGCCTCTGCTGCTTTAATTCTAATTATTCCTCATGATGAAAAGTGAAACTAAACCACAGATGCTTTTAACACGTTGAATCTATTTTTAATTTTGGGACTACAGTGTTAACAACCACGTTTTAAAAAGGAACTGCTGATAATAACATGTTATCGATAATTTATCAATAATTTTAATAACATCAACAAAGTAAAAGTTTGTGGATAAAAACATCCTTTGGCATTTTTTTAAAGAGTTTAAACCTGCTAGAACTTTTTAATTATTCATTTATTTTTTGGGAAATTTGGGAACTAAAAAGTTGATATGGTGAATTTGTAGGAAACAGCTGCTTATCTCCTCATCCAGCTGTTACACATCAACATGATGATCCATGTGTTGTGGTGTTTGTGTCAGCTGATGATCTATAAGTCCAGTGTTTGGTCTCCAGCAGCTCCTGAGGGAAAATATCTGGCTCTTTAGCTGCTAAACGCTGCACCATGTTCACCAGCTGCTCTCTGACCAACGTCACATTTTGTTCACGACTGTCTGCAAAGCTTCATACCGCTAAGGATTAAGTGGGAAAGTAAGTATTAAGTACTGTAAGTGAATCGGTTGAACTGTAAACACAACACATGTAAATCAGTGTTAAAGTATCTGTGTTAGTTCTGTGGATGATGAAATTATCTATAGCACCTATTTTGTAGCAGTTGTTAAGAGTTTATACAAATTAAAACTACATTTCCCATGAATTATGAACATTATAGGAACCTTTGAACCCAGTTATATGAGCTCTGAGCCGTAGAGTCTTAAAACACAAATCCTCACTAGAGCACCAAATGTGTATTAATCCGCCGCTGAAAATAGTTCCCAACAGATGCTCTATTTCTTTCTCTTTGAGTGACTTTTGCTGAAAACTACAAGGAGCAGCGGTTTGAGGAAATTAATGAGACTATATTTAAACAATGAAACTATATATTTGTGAGGTTTTTGATGACTTTAAATGTTTATATCTTCAGTAGGAAGCGATGGACTTGAGGCTGAGCGCAGCACACATGGTTGGGAAGTCTGAGAGTGTTGTTGGTTTTTGTCTTTTCATGGGATTTGTTCACAGTGTGAAACCTATAGAATATAAATACAGAATACTGCATACAAATCCACTTCCTGTTGCACACAACATAAATAAATGTCAAACATAACAGTTACCTGGTCTGTGCTCGGTGTGTCTGAAATGTCGTTCATGCTTCGGCTCTGGGCGGGATCTGTAAATGAACCACAATGAACCACTTATATTTGACATTTTAAAACACACAACATGCTGCAGATTTGTCCTCGAGGATATTTGTTCAGCTACAACGCAGATAATCATTTAATTAAAGTGTTATAAGAACAACAGAGGGGACATTCAAGTACGTCCACAGCGTGTTCTACAAACTTCAGCATGTTCAGGTGTTTCTGTGGAGGATTATATTTTAATGACCCATTTTCCTTTTCTTTTTTTCCCCCCTCAAAGCAGATTTGGAAACAAACAAAATCGAACAGAGAGAAAGAACAAGAACACAACACGCAGAGCCCTAAAAATCCTCTGATAATCCCCTTCACCCAGATAGATTCACAGAAGAAATCAGCAGAGGTGAGGTGCACACAATAGGACCACAATCTCTTAAGTAAACACACATTATGTCCAACACATTGTGTTCATGGTGAGTATACACACACACACACACACACACACACACACACACACACACACACACACACACACACACACACACACACACACACACACACACATCACACTAAGCCATCTCAAGTGTTGAAACCATGCAGTAGCTGGGAGTTAGCTGGGATCAGTGTCGATTAAAAACGTACAGTAAAGCAGAGAAGTTAAGAACGTGTGAGTCAGTGAAAAGCACCAAAACAACAATGTAAAAATACTTCATTAGAAGTAAAAGTCCTAGATTCAGAATACGACTTAAAGGTGTCGTGTGGGTGTGTGTAAAACTTGTACAAGGCAGACTACTCTTCTTGTTTAAATTGTGTATTGATTACATCTGTGTTTATTTGCCAACAGTGTTTTTATTCATTGCCTTAAGTGAAACTGTACCTTTAATTTAACTACATAAGTTTCAAAGTAAAAGCACTTGTTCTGCAATAAAATGTTCCCTGTGACTGATATATCATTATAAATGACATTGCTGAGTCATTGATGTTCCAGGTGGAGCTGCTTTAACTACTAGAGTCCAGTGGTTCCCAACCTGAGGATCTGACCCCTCCAAAGGGTCACCAGATAAATCTGAGGGGTCGTGAGATAATGTTTTATTATTTGTGAAGTTTAGAGCGGAAGTGTCTCAGATGTTTACACACTCACACAGATTTTGTTTATAAGGGGTCCCACACGAAAAAGGATGTTAACCACTTGTTTAGTCTATAATGTTGTACTTGAATAAACAACTAGTGTGTATATAGTAATAAAAAAGGTGGGAACTCATGGTGCATGTATGTATGTATGTATGTATGTATGTGTGTGTGTGTGTGTGTGTGTGTTAGTGTTTGTGTGGTGTGTTCAGACTCACGCAGGCGGCCAAGGCTGCTTGACTGCCGAGAGCGTAGGTCTTCTGTGGAGCGGTGGATCCCAGAAGCTGAACTAGTGCTACGACTCAGATTAGTCTGAGGACTACGGCCTGACAGAGCAGCAGCAGCAGCAGCAGCAGCAGATGAGTGAAAACGATGAGTAACGAAGAGGTGATTTTAACGAGGAAAGGTGAAACAGGTGGTGATCAACATGGCAGAAAACAGAGGAAGCATTAGGATGTAGTTAGTGTTTGGTAGCTAAAGTAAACGGTTCAAACCTTTTACTTTGCTGACTGGTAGTTGAAAATGTGCACAAACACACACACACTTAAGCAGACACACACACACACACACACACACACTTACTGGAGGCAGTGTTGGAGGATTTTCCTATGTCTGCCAGCGAGCGGTGGATCGGTTTCTTGGTCTGGTGGCGATGCTTCCTGAGCAGAACAAAACTGATCTTCTCCTTCAGATCCGGAGGGATGAGACCGTCAGCGATCTGCCGATCCACGATCTCATCTGGAGTCAGAGTTTACACATCACAGGTGATCTCTCATGATTTAAACCATTTACTACATTTACAACTCTGGAAAACCTAGGAAAACAAAACACTATAAAACATGTTGTTATCTGATCGTTAATGCTGCACTAATCAATATTCCCATATTAATTATTAATTAGTTATTTTAATAAAAATCAATTATGTCTGAAACGTGTGTTTAATCTGAGAGGAATTGTTCCTGGTGACAAACCCAGACAAATGTTTTTGTTGCTCATTGTTGTGATTTTCTAGCAAAAAAATGAGGCACTTTCTAACTTTGTAAAGAAAAGTTCTACTTAAATAAAGTTTATTATTGTAATTATATATTATAATCAGCAGACGGACGATGCTGCGTGACTCACCCACTATCTGTGGCAGTGAGTAGCCCTCCAGGTCGAGCAGAATGCTTCCTGTCTGCAGACAGGTCCTGAGCTCAAACAGGCTGTGGAGGGTCAGCGTGGAGACGTGAGGCTTGCTCCATCTCTCTCCTCCCTCCTCCACCTTCTCCTCAAACTTCACCCACCTACAGGGAGGGGTAGGGGGGGGGACAAAGTGGTGTTTGTTTGACTGTTTAAATGGAGGCACAGTGATTGATTAGACCTGGGTTCAGGACCAGCAGGATGCTGTTACGCAATTTAAATCACATGTAGTGTTACAGTCGCGTCACGCAGCACCCATGACGTGTCGAACGCCACCTCCAACCCCTAAATCCCATCAAAGGTGACCCCCAAATCCTAAACTAATGAAGCTGTGACGCCTGCAGGTTTGTGTGCACGTCTGTACCTCGCAGACTCCTTCCACTCTAGTTCCCCCCCCTCTTGCTGTAGTGTGTCCATCTCAGTGAATATGGTGGGTGTCGGCGTGCTGTCATCCTCCCCCAGTATGTGGCGCAGCCGCTCCGCTGCAGGGGACACTACAAAATAAAAGCCAAACATGAGACAGAGTCAGTTTCAGATTTCAGCGAATGGACATGTGCAAAGATAAAAGCTACAACAGTCATGCTAACAGGGCCGGGACGTTACAGATCAGACAGAAAGTGCCTCAGACCAACAGGACACCCCCGGAGAGTTGTTTTGTTTTAAGTCAACCAAACATTAGGAACACGTCTAATTTAAACAATCCCCATTACCCTTTGTTAACGAGCGAACAACAGAGTCAGCTCCTCTAATATCTATCTGATAGCGATGTGTAATCTATCGGCCTGCATCTTTTCTAATTTTACTCTGAGCAGATCAATCTCCATAACATCCAAGCCTGGAGGCGCAGGGCACTCGCATCCAACACTGTGTGTGTGTGTGTGTGTGTGTGTGTGTGTGTGTGTGTGGTGTGTTTCCATGTTGCTCAGTTTGCTTCTCCAAAGTCTAAAAAAGCTCAGAAGTCAGAGACACATGAAACGGACAGATGTCCAGTTTGAACCACGACCGCGACAGCCTCATGTGACAGTGACGTTCGCCATCTCAATCAACACCTCCGTGTACAGGAAACTGTTACGTAATCTGCGTTAACTCCGGTGTGGTGCCCGATTATAATACAATACAATGTTCCAAATGAGAGCGACACTTAATAGGAATCATGGGCTGTTTCCATCACTGTCACATCGGGTCGGGTCAGACTGGGTCTGTTTCTGTTTGTGTGTCTGATGTAATCGCACACGGGGAGATCGTGGGGTTTTATATCTGCAACGCTTGGGATCATTTGTGGGGAAAACACAAATTCAAATCGCCCCCTACTTCTTTAACTCTTTAGGCTGCAATGCAAAATACATAAAGCTGCACCGCTCCGTATTTATATTGGCAGGAGTTTATTCAGGTTGAAAAGGAAGTGGCATAAAAAACCAACCACCCAGCTCTGCAGCTCCCCACAGTTCACAAAATTTTTTTTTTTCCAGTCGTCTTTTCTATTTTATCAACGTTTTATACTCAATGTTTCAGCTGTAATACAAAAAGAAAAACAGGATGGAAACCTTCAAAATACACGGTTTCATCCACCCACCTTGATTAACAACAGCTCATTACCAGACTCTAAGTAGGTTGTTAGAGTTTTACTGAGGACAATGTTCAATCAAGTGTTTTGTGTTTACATTCAGATATCATGACGGAACAACTTGTTTTCTCCCACTTACACTCATTGTTTAGGCTGAAGTGGCATGAGAGAGAGTTGGACTAAATATCCTGACATCAGAAGTCTGCTTGGTGAAACTTTTATAACTTAAACCTACAAAATGTTTTAACATATTTCAGCTCATTTTAGTTTCCCGGTCCGTAAACTCTCCGGTTGTTCCCAATCCAGCAGCAGCAGGTGTTAATGAAAACACTCTGATAAACCCACTGAACACCGCCTTCCCAGCACACACACACAACACACACACACACACGACACACACACACACACACACACACACACACACACAACACACACACACACACACACACACACACACACACACACACACACACACACACACACACACACACACAGCACTTACTTGAGGTAATAAACAAAGCAGAATAAGCTGATGCGGAGATAAACATAAGAAGTTGTTTTTGTGCCTTGAAAGCAAAAGTAAATGGGTGGAAAATATTTCCTCTCTGCGCAGCGTTCTGTATAATTAGCTATTAGCATCTAGTGATCTAGTCAGTGCACTTAAATAAGATGGCAGACAGACAGACAGACGGCTCACACTGCTTCTGTGTGTTTATTGCTGCAGAAATAAAAGGTCCATCAGACTCGGCGAGTGATGCTTTGGTGATGATTTAATGTTTTTTCAGTGTGGGACTCGACGTCAGACTCATGCTTTAGATGAAAATGCCTCGTGTTTGTATCTTTATAATTATTCAGGTATTTAAAAAAATAAAAAATCACAGGTGTGCAGAGTCATTCATGATCGCTGCTGTTTAAACGACAGAGGGACAGTTTGTTTCTCACCACCAGCAAGAGGCTGTGTGTTATTAAAGCTGTGAGCTGCTGTTTCTCACTTGAGTTTCATGCGTCATGTCAGCTACTCAACACGAGTGTTGTTTCTAAATACTCAATATTTTCACAAATTAGCGATCATGACAAAGAGCGCTGCAGGGATGAATCCTAACACCCGCAAATTAGTCGCATTTTAGCACTTCCTGTTCCTCGACCTGAAGACATTTTCACGTCTTATTCTATGACATAAAATACATCAGTTAATACCTCAGTCCTGATTTCTTGAAGCTTTTACGTCTGTTAAAAAAGGCCGGTTGCTAAGAGCGTCTAAATGAGACTACGGAGGTTTAATTTGTAATTTCTGACAGTTTCCAGTTTATCTATATTGGGGGAAAAAGAGAGTAACTTTATATCCGCACTCGATATGCTTTCCTGCCAACAAAGACAATTAAAGTAAATGCATGACACAGGAATTAAACTAATTCGACTGCAGCTGGTGACCCTCGCTTCCACTCTCTCCTCTCTCATGCCATCTTTACCTATTGGAGAGCCAGGTAGGGTCCAGCGGGAGGCCATAATGGAGGGAAAGGAGGCGCCCGCGGTCCTGCATGCTCACTGGATCCACTGACCACAAAGGTAGCTGGAGAGAGATCTCAGTTTGGTTGGAGAGGCGTCTAGCTTCCTGTCCTCTTGCTGAGGTCGAGAGTCCTTAGCTCACCACTCCTCGCTCTCCACCATGAGCCGAGAGAGGTGACACACACCTCTCACTCCTCTCACATACGTCCTTCCCCGGGTGTTTTCTCCGCTCTGCTGTCGTCTACGAGCTTTACTCCACAGCCAGTTGTGTTGCTTCAGTTGACCATGTACGATGTGGTGTGTGTGGTCAGTCTGAGTGAGACCTGCACCATTCAATCGGTCGGAAAAGGTTCCTCCTAAGCTGGGGACAGAATCCACTGAAATCTCCAAAGCAGCAAAGAGCCAGAGGCTTTAAGAGGGTTGACACACACACAGGGCCCTCGAGTGCTCTCCTCCCAGAGGTGCACGCACACGCACACACACGCACACACATACAAACACACACGCAAGAAACACAAGAACACATATAACTGCTCTGCAGATGAACTACAGTCCTGCGTCAGTGCCTCTAACCAGCCTCCTCAGGCCTTGTGTTTGCTGCACATGTTCAATATGGAATCTTGGCAAAAACACAACACATACAAACACCCCCCCCCCGATAACACGCAAACACACGCACACGCACACACACACACACAACAGCTTGGAGTTCCTCAGCTCTAATCAGCTTACAGACTTCAGACTTCATGGCCCCCTGGAAACGAGGACCATGCTGAAAAATATTCATCACATACCTCATCACAACTCGTCATGCAGGCCGGACCTGTGGGTCGATCAGCCACAGGACCAGGCCGGACCTGTGGCTGATCGACCCACAGGTCCGGCCTGGTCCTGATGCTGTCAAAGCACTTCCTCAGTTTGGTGTCTTCTATTTATATTTTTTCACTTTAATGAAAATTAATTTGGTTAATAAAGCTGCAAAAAAAAAAGCAAAGCTAGCAGCAGCTAAAGGCTAACATCACCATGACGACGAGAAACATGCTGATGCTTGGCTGAGAGACTGAGATGTTTTCCATGTTCACCATCTTATTACAGCTGATGGGAAACTCATTTATTTAGAGGCTATTTGGTTTAAAAGTATTGTGTTTGTGTTTCCTCGTGTTTTATAATTTCACAAGTTTTGTCTCTTTCGTTACTTTATGTTTCACTATTAGGGACATTAGTTTATTGTATTATATTTAGGTCAAGATGCTCAAACCCCAGTGCTTCGCTTTAGACGAACGAATACAGACAGTGACGTCATGAGACTGAGAGTTTCTGACCTGTGGGGTCAGCGTGGTCCTGACGCTCTGCGCCCCCTCCTCCTCCTGTCATAGTGCTCCTCTCTGTCGTGGTAATACCCCGGTGCGAGTGGTCGCGGTGCGTGTGGTGGTTCGTAGTGAGCGTGTCGGCGCGCTGTGCTCGGCGTCGCTGGCGTAGGAGTGATGTCTGCGCCTTTTCCGTCTGTGGGAAACTGGAACACCGATGTAGACCGGCTGCGCCTCTGAGAGAGAGAGAGAACATGTAAGAGTGGGATCAATACAGTGACACACACACACACACACACACACACACACACACCACAGTTTTTATTTTAATCCTATAAATACCATTTGAAAGAAATGTAAGGCAGCACTAAAAATATTATTACATACACACCATAACCCCGCCCCTCATATTGAATATAAAGATGGAAATAAAAAGAGCTGGAAAATAAAACATGGCATTGTGAATAAAAAGTCTTCAGGAATAAATAAATGTGGAATTATAGAATAAAAGTAAGTAAATAATAAAGTAAATAAAAATGTAATTTTAAAAAATAAAATCCTATTTATTTGTGTATTTATTTTTTTATTATTTGTATGTATAGGCATTTATTTATTCATTTATTTACTCACTTATATATTAATATTTAATATTTATTTAATATTTTCTACATTTATTACCTACTTTATATATTTGGGGATTTATTTCATAGCTGTATTTATTTATTTATTTAATATTGATTTAGATGTAATTCCATAGTTTGTTTGCCAACAGATTTTCCATATCAATTTCTTAATGAATCAGTTTTGTTGCCAAAAGGAAATGTCAGTTAATTGCAGGTTTATTGTTTTCATGTCAGCTGATGTTTTGCTTTGGTTGTAACGTCTGAATTTCCAATATAAAGCTACGGCTGATCACTTTGCTCAGTCGGTGATCCAGCTTTGTGTCGTAACTGTTTCCTAATATCATCATGACATGCAGAGGGGGAACCGTCAATCCCCACTACGATGATGATGATGGCAGTGACGGAAACAGTTACGACAAAAGCTGGATCACCGACTTGAGGCAAAGTGATCAGCGCGTAGCTTTTATTGGAAAATTCAGACGTGTACAACCAAAGCAACAATATCAGCTGACATGAAAAACAATAACCTGATTAACTGACATTTCCTTTTGGCAACAAACTGATTCATTAAGAAATTGATATGGGAAATCTGTTGCAAACAAACTATGGAAATTACATCTAAGATCAATATTAAATAAAATACAATAAATACAGCTATGGAATAAATCCCAAATATATAAAGTAGGAATAAATGTAGAAATATCATAAATAGAATATAAATATTAATATATAAGTGAAGTAAAGTAATGAATAAATAAATGCGCTATACAGTACCTAAATAAATAAAAAATAAATACCACAAATAAGATAGGATTTATCTTTTAAAATTACATTTTTTATTAACTTTATTATCATTAACTTTACTTTTATTCTAATTAATTCCACATTTATTTATTCGCTGAAGAATTTTATTTCATCAAATGCTGTTTTATTTTCCAGACTCTTTTTATTTCCATCTTTTATATTCAAAATGAGGGGGCGGGGTTATGGCTGGTTAATGTATAATATTTTTAGTGGCTGCTTACATTTCTTTCAAATGGTATTTATAGGATTAAAATAAAACTGTGTGTGTGGTGTGTGTGTGTGGCCTGGTTGTGTGTGTGTCACTGTAAGCTTGATCCCACTCCTTACATGTTCTCTGCTCTCTCTCAGAGGCGCAAGACCGGTCTACATCGGTGTTCCAGTTTCCCCACGAGACGGAAAAGGCCGCAGACATCACTC